AAAGGAAAGAAAGAAAAGAAAGGAAAGAAAGAAAGAAAAGAAAGGAAAGAAAGAAAGAAAGAAAGAAAGGAGTCATAGAAACAAAACCAGACTACCATTTTTGGGGAGCCTTTTTCCTTTTTTTTCTCACATTTACTTTTTGTTATGGCGCACAGAAGACTGCATGCCGCTAGTGACAATCTTTCTGGATTTAAATGTTTTTTCTGCAGGTTTCTTCCTGCTTGTCGGAGACTGAGCCCCCACCTCTGGCAGCGCTGACTTGGATTTAGCAGCCGGAAGCAGTGGACGTTTCGTAGGATTGGGGTCTTTGCTCGACAGCTTCCCTCGCTGAGCCGTTTTGCTGGTCAGGTTCAAGGCCGAGGCAGCAGCAGATGGCGGCTGTTCTGTTGTCATTCGTCTTCCCTCTTTAACTGCCCCCTCACTTGGCACCTTTTTCGTCACCATTTTGGTGGGTCCATCTGCTGATTTCTTAGCAAGAATATTGCTCTTTCCCAAGTCAGCCGACCTCCGACTCTCTTTCTGCCGCAATGCTGACCGAAAGAATGATAGTCCTTTGTCATCTGATTTGCTGCTGTCCCTTCTCAAGTCGGTCCTCGAGCTAGTATCGGATGATTTTGCTTCTGTCATGGAGGAGCTACTGCTCGAATTCCTCAGTCTCCTGTTCTCCAAACGGCTTCCCGATTTAGCATGTGACAACCTGCTTGTGCTGCTAGCTTTAGAAGATGATGTCAGCCTACGCTTTTCCGGAGAAGGGCTGCGTTTCGAACGACCCTCAGAAGTCTTGGACCTTCCTGGCACCTTTTTGCGTGTTGGGGAAGGAGACTGTGGAGAAGGCAAGACCAGCTTTGCTTTCTGCTGATACACTGACAACGCTGACTCTTGACTTTTGGCTGTGTCCCTTCGAAGAACAGAGTTTGAAGAAGAATGTCGGGCTCTCACTTTTGATTCTGTCTTTTCGCGTGTGACAGAAGCCTTCTGGGGGTTCTTGTGTGATGAAGAAGAAATTAACTGAGCTCTGGATGAAGAGCCTTTGGCCTGCTCATGAAGCACTCTAGAAGTAGTGGTCTTCTTCTGCAGGCTCTCAGCATTCGCTGTTCCAGACGCAAGACCTTTCCTGTGTCTTTGCTCTTCCACAGAAGAAGCGCCACTAATACTTGGAGAGCAAGGGCTGCTGAGGCCAGGTGTGCCTTTCCTATTGTCTAAAGCATCCAGCAAAGGGCTCAGAGTGTCCAGTCCTCCCGAATCATTGCCACACTGGTCCAGCTTTTTATCAAGGGGTAGAGTGGGCCGGCTCTGTCCAGTTGCTTTTCCTGTGACTCTCAATTCCTCCTCCCGGACCATGCCTTCCATGACTGCCAGGGGTGCCCTGCCAGACTGTCCGGCATGAGTAGTGGCCTGGACTGGCAATGGAGAGTTGCCTTGGTTGGGGCTTCTCCGCCCCAGTAGGTCTGCTGTCGGAGATGGGCTGTGAGTCGGAGAATCAAAGGAGAATGGTGATGGAGAACTGGACCGCATGTGCAGCTTGCTGGATAGCGACCTCTGAGATTTAATTCCGTTCTCATTGAGCACCAAGGGACTGGCAAACGAAGATCTGGACGACAAACTCTGGCGTTGGACACTCCTCACAAAAGGCCGAGTAGAAAATCCACCTGAACAACAGAAATAATGAATTAATCTGACCTTCAAACTGAATAACAATCATGAGCAACCCTCATGTCACAAACCTGGGCTAAACATCTTTATGATGTCATATTTACTGCACCAATGGTACAGACATCATAAAGCAGGGGCAGCATCTTCTGTCCTTAGGCCTTGGAATTAAAACTGCACTGCTATTAAAATTTTACCATGAAAATGTTGTCTGACATGTAGTAGCAGTTTCTCTGGGCATCACTGTGGCTCAGTAGGCACTCTTGTTCCATATTAGATCATGGGCTTAACACTTTCACCAACAACACTCAACACCCAACACCCCACCCCCACACCGCTCGCCCCAACTTAGAGGTTTGAGCCTAGACGAGACATTAAACCAGGGCACCGCCTGTTCTTTTAGGTGATGTAAAATATCCAAAGAGTGACAGTTGGTTCTCCCAACTGTCCTAGTAACATGTGCCCATTAACCAGCCTACTAAAATAAATTAGTGCTTTTTCATTGCTGTTTGTAGAATATCACTGTAAACTGAACTCAGTATGCAGTGAAGGACAGAGAAGAGTTAATTTGCACAACATTCTTTACTGGTTGAGAACCTCTTTGGGACATCTGGCAGTTACAAAATAATTAGAGACTCATGGAATGATAAGGCACCGGAGGAAGCCATTTGGCCCATCCTATAAATGCCAACTCTGTGAAAGAATTATTCAATTAGCCCCATTCTCTGCTCTTTCCAATAGCCCTGTAAATCGTTCCATTTCTAGTACTTAGCCAATTTCTTTTTGAAAGTTGTTGCTGAATCTACTTCCACCATGCTTTCAAGTTATACATTATAGATCAATACATGAGAAAGGTGCTATACAAATGTACATTTTTCTTTCCCAATGTGTCTTGGAAATTTCAAAACATGGTAAACAAACACTTGCATTTGTATAGTGCCTTGCATGTACACTGATGGCTGAAGGTGCTTTAAAGCCAATGAGAATTACATTTTAAGTGTACTTTCTGTAGTAACAAATAATATTTATGCCACACAAGTAACAGGCAATGACTACCTTCAATGACATTCAACAGCATTATTTTGCTGAATCATCAACCAACAACCACCTGGGGGTTACCACTGACTAGAAACTGAACTGTACAAGCCATAGAAAATCTGTGGGTACAAGAGCTGGACAGAGGCTAGACAATCTGCAGCGACTAATCTATCTCCTGACTTCTACAGCCTGTCATCTGCAATGCACAAATCAGGAGTGCAGTGGAGTACTCTCCACTCTCCTGGATGGACACAGTTCCAACAACATTCAAAAAGCTGAACACCATCCAAGAGTAAGCAGCCTGCTTGACTGGTATCCCATTTGCTACATTTAACATTTAGTTTCTCTACCACCAATGCACAGTGGCAGCAGTGTAATACCATCTACAAAATGCACTGAGGCAACTCAACAAAGCTCCTTCGACACACTTTCCCAACTTATGATCTCTATTAGCTAGAAAGCCAAGGAAGCAGATGTATAAACAGCACCAGCACTCAAGTTCTCCTCCAAGTCACACCATTCTGACTGAGAATTATAATTGCTGTTCCTTCATTGTTGCTGGGTCAAAATTCTAGAACTCCCTAACAGCACTGTGGTTGTACCTACGCCCAACTGACTGCAGCACTTCAGGAGGGTCGCTCACTACCACCTTCAAAGGGAAGATAAATGCTGGCCTAGCCAGCAATGCCTACATCCCTTGAACAAATAAAAAGTGTAGGAAATTGAACAGCCAATTTGTACATAGGAAACTTCTACAAATAATAATGTTTCTTATTCTAATCAACTATGCAAAAACAATTTGAAATTGACAAGAACACCAGGGATAACTTGCCCTCTCCTTCTTGAAATTATGTCATGGGATCGTGTCTATCTCTGGACAGCAAGCAGGGCATTGGTCTAATGTCTCACTTAAAAGTTAGCACTTCAAACAATATAGCATTTCCTCAGTTCTGCACTGGTGTGCAGGAATTGTTGCTTGTAATCAAGTCCTAGAGTGGAACTTGAACCTACAACCTTCTGACTGAGGTAGAAGTGCCACACATCATCATAATACCTAATGAGTAATATTTCCCAATTGCCATTACATGTACTGCATCTCGCACACAAGAAAACATCACGCAAATTAAGCAATGTTTATCTATCACCTTAGTATGAAAAGACCACCTTATAGTATAGTTTTCCGAAAATGCATTTTTTTGGTAATACATTTAAACTGAAACATCATAGCTACCTGTGATCAGTTTTCACAAGTTAAGAAGTTTAATATTAATTGAGAATCAATTTGGGAAGGCATGATTACTCAAAAACTAAGCAATGAAAGTCTGTGAAAGAAGACAGACTTCCAAATGACAAACAATAGTAATGAACATCCCTTAATGCCCACAGCAATTTTAAACAATCCCACTCCCTCAAGCATTTAGTGAAGAAGCTATTCCCCTTTCTAGATATTTAACTACAGGGGAGCTTTGAGAATTTGGTAGAGAAAAAAAAATCAAACTTGTCCTATACCACTGCTTTACATTGCTAGAAATGAAAACATCATGCAAATATCAGGTTGGGAAGAGGAGACTAAGAACACACATAGACTGTACCATCATCCTGATCGCTGCGGTCCTGTGTAAATTCCACAGATTCAGAAAGTGAGACAAGAGATGTCCGGCGTGATGATGCAGTGGAAGTGATGCTGGGCTGCTTGCTGCCTGTGAGGCGATTTACCCAGTGTTCACACAGAGACGAGCTGGTAGAGCCTGAAAAACATTACCACACATCAATAAGGGATTAAAATATAGTTACATATGAGCAAGCACGGGGACATGGTGATGTGGTGGTAATGTAATGCTATGTAGTGATCCAGTAATCTAGACATTCAAGCTAATGGGATTCAAATTCCACAATGGCAGTTCAAATAGTAAAACCTGAAATTGAAAGAGTCTCAGCAATTGTGACCATAAACTATTTTGCGAAAGACTGTTGTAAAATTACTGTTCTTTAGAAAAGAAGCTCTGCCATCCTTTCCACAATAATATAGTTGACTCTTAAATGCCCGCTGAAATAGACCAACAAACCAATCAGGGGCAGATAACAGGTGCTGATCTTGCAAGCGATGCCCACAATCCAAAGAATATATAAAGCAATTACCAAATCAGACATTCTCAAAAAGAGACAGCCAATTCTCCAGACAGCAGAGTTGCTACAATGTGTACTTCACATGTGCTCATTAGAGAAGAGGCAGTACCCCAAACTACCCCCAAAAGGCAGTAAAGACAGTAATAATTTTATCCTATCTAATATTGACAAAGAGGTGGTTGAAAGCTTAGCAGTCAACTTGAAAAGTAACCAAGGTACGGAAAGACAGATGAAAGGAAGGACATTGAGGATGCTCTGGCCAGATTCCAATCTCCATTGATATGAGAGTGGTGGCAAAGAACTAGGAAGAATGCAAAGTTACACCCTTGCTTTAAAAAAGAAAGAGATAATCCCAGCAAAAATATAGACAGTCCACCTATCAATGATGGGAAACTTTTACAGACCATTATTTGGAGGCAAAATTAATTCCAATTAATTGGAAAATTGTGGACTTGTAGTTGAAAGTCAACATGGATGTGTTAATGATAAACCCTGTTGCACTAATCTGATATGAGTTCTTCAATGAAGTAACAGAGAAGTGATGACAATGGTGTGATTAATGGACGTGTAAACATACTTTGAAAAGGTATTTGACTACGTACCACCAACAGCCAAATCAAAGTTTGAGATTAAACAGACACCAGCAGCATGAATGCAAAATTGATTAAAGACCAGGAATCAGGCAATAGCAAACAGTTGCTTTTCAGACCACAAGGAGATCCACATGGAATTGCCGCGTGCTGGGAGTAGAACCTCTATTCTTTTTGATACCCTCAAGGCCTCACCGGCGAAGTGCTGCAATCCCACAGACACCTGTGAATCACTGACCCAGGATTGTCCAAAGTGGAGGAGCAGCATCTGGGAAGGCGTCGAGGAGGTTGGGTCTGGGTGGGATGGTCTGAGTGTCGGTGTGGACTCGGTGGGCTGAATGGCCTGTTTCCACACTGTAGGGATTCTATTCTATATATGAATGACCAAGGATCGGATATACAGGATGTAATTTCAAAATTTGCAGGTGAAACTAAACAAAAAATATACTGAATGATGATGATATTGACTAACTTCAAGAAGTTGCATCTGCTAACACCTTGGAGCATGAACAGGAGCAGCAAGATCTCAGAATTAAATTTAATTAGAGTGTGTTAAAAACCTAATAAACACAAAAGATGTAAAAATAAATAGTGATAATGAATAGAATGAATTAATTCTATTGGTGAATAGAAAAAACTTTTAAACAAAGTAGATTTTTATTTAATTTTTAAGAATCGGCTTTATGTTGCACGTGCGAAAGTGCGTGTGCAGTTTGGCAAAAATGGAGATGAGCACATGCACTTGGAATTTTTCACTGTACAGTAAGTCTCAGCAGACATGTCAGAGGGCTTAACTAGTGAAAGAGAAAAATCAAAATTAACAGAGAAGTATGAAGAATATACTTTGATAGGATGAACAAGTAGTAGTTAAAAATAACCTAATTGATACAATTTTTAATGAGGGTTCAGAAACAGAGAACTCAGGACGACATTCACAGGAACAGCAGGTTGCCATTCAGCCCTTCAAGCCTGGTCCACCATTCAATGAGATCATCGCTGATGTTTGGCCTAACCCAATATAGCTGCCTTTGGTACCTATTCCTTAATACCTTTGCTTAAAAATGTATCTAACTCAGATTTAAAATTAACAACTGATCCTGCATCCATCGCTGCTTGTGGAAGAAAGTTCCAAACATTTACCACTCTGTGTATAGAAGCTTTCTAACATCTCTGCTGAACAGTGCGGCACTAATATTTAGACTACACCCCCTTGTTCTATAATCCCCAATCAGTGGGGATAGTTTACCTTTATCTCCCTGTATTTTCATTCTAATATCTTGAAGACGTCCATCAGATCACCCTGAACCTTCTAAATTTGAGAGAAATGGGCCTAACTTATATAATTTCTCCTTGTAACCTAACCCCTTAAGTCCAGGTATCATCCCTCTATTTCCTGCGGTAGGGACTTCCGAAACCAGTCTGCATGGACCTTCAGAGTGCTTAGAGGGAACACTGCCACAGGGTATGTTTTCATAAATCTTTGAAGGAAGCAGGATATGTTCAGAAGGCTGTTAAAAGGGTTTTTTTAAATAGAAGAACCAATTACGGTTATTATGTCTCAATAAAACATTGGTTAGATCTTAGCTGAAGTGCGATTTAGAAACATAAAAAAAGGAACAAAAGTAGGCCATTCAGTCCTTCAAGACTGGTCTGCCAGTCAATATGATCATGGCTGATCACCTAACTCAGTACCTTATTCCAAATTCGCCCCATACCTTTTGATCCCTTTAGTTCTAAATACTCTAACTCCTCTTGAAAACAATCAATGTTTTGGCCTCAACGGCTTTCTGTGCAAGATAATTATACAAGCTCACTACTCTCTGGATGAAGAAATTTTTCCTCATTTCAGTCCCAAAGGGCCTACTCAGTATCCTTAGACTACGACCTCTGGTTCTGGACTCCCTGGTCTTCAGGAACATCCTTTCTGCATTTACCCTGTCTAGTACTATTGGAATTTTATAGGTGTCTACAAGATCCTCCATCCCCCTCCCAATTCTTCTAAACTACAGTGAATATAGTTCTAACTAATCCAGTCTCTCTTCATACATCAATCCTATCATCTGAGGAATCAGTTCCTGCATTGCAATGCCTCCATGGCCAGTCTCCGATAAGAAGTCCAAAACTGCACATTATACTCCGGGTTTGGTCTCACCAAGCCCTGCACAATTGCAGCAAGGCATCCCCGCTCCTGTACATAAATCCTCTCACTATGAAAGCCAACATACCATTTGCCTTGTTCAATGCCTGCTGCACCTACATGCTTACTTTCAGCTCTGAAGAAAAGTATTCTATCTAGACTCGAAATATTAGCTTGCTTTCTCTCCATCGATGCTGCCTGACCCACGGCAATTTCCAACATTTTTTGTTTCAGTGTTTTCTTTCAGTGTCTGGTATAAAGGATACCTACTGAATTAAGGTGATGAACCAGAGGCAATAAGGATTTTTTAAAAATGCAATACATAGTTGTGATCTGGAAGACACTGCAAGAGTAGTGGAAACAATTTCAATGGCAACTTTGAAAAGGGAACTTGAGAAATACTTGAAGTGGGGAAAAAAATCCAGAGCTACAAGGGAAAAACTAATTTATACCTCCATCAAATAGTTAATACAAGCATGGCTGGCTGAATAGCCTCCTTGGATGCTGTTATCATTGTACAATTTCCAGTACACGTACTACAAGTTACATTGCACAAGATTCCTTTCTCCCATCAGACTCATTTGAATGCTGTCTTGGATCAGCATAAACTGTGAATAAAGACTCAAAGGTTTGAATTCTTTTAAATATGACAACAATGGGAGTTAAATGATCATTTTAAATACTTCTCTCACATGAATCTATGAAACGATGACAAAAGCAACCTACTTCCAGTAATTGATTAGTCTAGAATAAAGGACATTGATACTCCACTTGCCAGTAATTTGGAACAAACAGTAGGAGAAATCACTTCTCGCAGAGTTGAAAGACTTAGGAATTCATTTCCAAGATTAGTTGTCAGTAAGAAACTGCTAAGATTCCAGTTTATAGTGGCTAGGTGGATGTGAAGCAAAAAAAAAGGACATTAGGAAAAGGGTGAATAAATGCAATTAGAATCCTTTTCTCGTGTGGCAGATAAACACCAATACACACTGATTGGGTCTACATATTAACTTGCAGGAATCATCTGAGGAGCAGGAAAGTTGACGTTTCAGGTTGGGATCCTTCTTCAGAAATTTCCAAAACGTCAACTTTCCCGCTCCACTGATGCTGCCTGGCCTGCTGTGTTCCTCCATCTCCACACTGTGTTGTCTCTGACTCCAGCATCTCGCTGTCTCTCTTGCATGTTTGTTTGGTTAGTCACAAGCAATTTCATAAACCACCTGCAGATGGCTCTGTCCACTCAGTTCCTGAACTGGAGAGGTAAAATCAAATATTACAATGAATCAACTAGGTAGTTTCTAAGGTTTTGGAGTAGATCTGTAGCTCGGGTTGTGGGTGTTGGTTGGCTCGCCGAGCTGGTTTGTTGTTTTGCAGACGTTTCGTTACCATGCTTGGTAACATCCTCAACGGACCCCAGAGTTTAAAAACCAGGCGGGAAAACACACCGACGCTTCATCGGAGGCTGCACTGAGGATGTTACCAAGCATGGTAACGAAACATCTGCAAAACAACAAACCAGCTCGGCGAGCCAACCAACCTCAACAACTAGATAGTTTATTGGCAGTAATCTGTTCGGTGAAGGCACTAATCTCTCATCACTCTGTGACAGCCCTCAGGCAACAGGTCAGAGTTAAATGAATTTTTGCTGTCAGGGATGATGAAAACCTTCATTTCCCTGTGACTAATTGGTGGCAACACCAAGTATTTGGGTGGCATTTGGGGATTATTACTGAAACTATCTTGTGAAGTAAAAAATTGGAAAACATTTTGGACAACATTGTTTTATAGAAGCTCAAAAAATTGGATCACTGCTGCAAGAGTCAAATTTCAGCTCTGAACTTCTTTTTACCAATCATTTCATTTCAACTTGTTTGTCCATCTGGTTGTTATTCATCATGTTTCCTGCAAAATGTTCTGAAAGGAAGCCTCCATAAGCATAAAGGCTGTTTCAAATAAATCCTTGCACACTTATTCCCACCATACTGAACTTTTTATATAAAATCATACATTTACAGGATGCAGGTCTCATTGCTTTGGCTGATAATTGCCCTCTGAGAGTTTATGGATAGGCATAAAATTAAGAGTCAATCACATGGCTGTGGGTCTGAAGTCGCACATTAACCAGACCAGGCAAGGACAGCAGTTTCCTTCCCTTAAAGACATTAGTGAACCAGATGGGTTTTACAACAATCAATAGTGGTTACATGGTCACCATTAGACTAGCTTTTTATTCCAGACAGGCAACAAACCTCAGACCACCGCATTCAGGCTCAAACCGGAATTTATTGTAGAAAACTTACTTTTACCCAAGATTCCAAGACTAAATTTTTACCCCAAAACTAGGGTGTCACCTTTCACGGCTAACAAGTGAGGACTTGAAATCCAATCTCTCTTATCACCTCATTATCAGAGTTATAGGTTGGAGGCTGTTCCCAACAACCCTGTTTCCCAATAAGACTTGACACACACAGACATGAGCGCCTGAACAATGATGTGCTATTCTATAATTCTAACAATGAGTAGGTTTGTATGAGGTCGGTGAGTGGATGTTAATGGAAGTGTTTAGATTTCTGCAGCCAAAAGTTGGTGATTGACTTCTACACAAGATCTACCATCACTCAAGAATATATGGTGTTTACAAGAGTAATGCACAGAAGCAGAGATACCAACAAAGATACAAAATCCTCAATATTTCAGTAGTCTTATAAAAATGTGCAGTCTTTATTTTGCAACTGCAAACATTTGTACAAATTATGAATAAGCCATTTGGAAACTTGAACCAATTCTGCCATTTGTTAACATCACAACTCATTGGACTCTGGCTTGATACAGTCATAGAGTCACACAGCATGGAAATAGACCGTTCAGTCAAATTTGTCTGCACCAACTAGGATCCCAAACTGAACCAGTCACATTTGCCTGTGTTTGGCAAATATCCCTTGAAAACTTTCCTATTCATGTACCTGTGTACATGTCTTTTAAATGTTGTAATTGTACGTGCCTCTACCAATTCCTCTGGCAGCTCATTCCATACGTGCAACACCCTCTGTGTGAAAAAGTTGCCCCTCGGGTCCCTTTTAAATCTTTTCCCTCACACCTTAAACCTATGCCCACTACATGGAGGTGCCGGTGTTGGACTAGGGTGGACAAAGTCAGAAGTCACATGACACCAGGTTATGGTCCAACAGGTTTATTTGAAATTACAAAACTTTCGGAACGCAACTCCTTTTTCAGGTGAAGTCCTGACAATTCAGACTTCACCTGACAAAGAAGTAGCGCTCCGAAAGTTTGTGATTTCAAATAAATCTGTTGGATCACAACCTGGTGTTGTGTGGCTTCTGACTATATCCTCAAGTTTTGGACTCCCCTCCCCTGAGAAAAGACTTTGGCTATTCACCTTACCTATGGCCCTCATGATTTTATAAACCTCTATAAGGCCACCCTTCAGCCTCTATGCTCCAGTGAAGAAAGTCCCGGTCTATGTAGCTTCTGCTTATAACTCAAACCTTCCAGACTTTTTTTCTGTACCCTTTCTAATTTAACAACATTTTCCTATTTCAGGATGGCCAGAATTGTACACAGTATTCTGAAAGTGGCCTCACCAGTGTCTTGTAAAGCCGCAACATGACATTCCAACTCCTATGCTCCATGCTCTGATCAATGAGGGTAAACACCTTCTTCACCACCCTGTCTACCTGCAACGCCACTCTGAAAGAACGATGAACCTGCAGACTTAGGTCCCTCTGTTCAACACCACACCCCAGGGTCTTACCATTAACTGTGCAAGTCTGCCCTGATTTACCTTACCAAAATATAGCACCTTGCATTTATCTAAATTAAACTCCACCTGCCACTTCTCAGCCTATTGGCCCATATGATCAAGATACATTGTACTCTTAGATAACCTTCTTCACAGTCTACTGTACCACCAATTTTAGTGTCATCTGCAAACTTACTAACTATACCTCCTACATGCTCATTCAAATCATTGATATCAACGAACAACAGTGGACCCAGAACTGATCCTTCGGCTCACCACTGGTCACAGGCCTCCAATCTGAATAACAACCCTCTACCACCACCATCGGTTTTATTTTAACAAGACCACCTTCCATTTCTCTAAATTCAAAAGGATACAGACCCAACCAGTCCAAGCATTCGTCTCAAGTCAACACCCTCATCTCAAGGATCAGTCAAATGATCAATCACTTGCTGCAGCGCCATACTAGCTTTTTGTAATTCGTATACCAGGGGACCAAGATGCCTTTGTTTTTCAGTTCTGGAATCTTATGTCAAGTCAAAAGGAATCGAGATAAAGACCATTCATAAACTTTTACAATGCCATGTTACACAAAGATGTAATAAATGCAGTTTCTTTAATGCCATGATTCATTGCCATGGGAAACCTCCACATCATGGCTTGTTCTACAAAAGTGCAGAAATCCAAACTGACAAGAAGACAAATTTCACCTTCCTCACAAACCATCTCCCTTAATCATTCAAAAGATTAAACTGGTCTTTTCCTACGGCACCTACGGGATCAGGAACATGCCGGCTGATCAAGAGATCAAGAGATCCACATACTCAATGTAAAAACACACACTAAGTAACAGAAATGTAATGCAGGGGGTATACACATCACCGTTATACTTTAGTTACAGCATAATTCACTGAAATAAGACTGGAACTTTGCGTTAAATAAAACTTACCAGCAGAGAGTCTTCTCTTTCGCACCCTCAACTGACTACTCGGATATCGCAGAGTTCACGACAATACAGTAAACTTCTGGTATTTCAGGTATATAATTTTTGCCAGTTTATTGAGTGTGCCAGTTCAAAAGGTGCTGGTTAAAACAAAGTCTGTTGTATATAAACATTGAAGCAGACTGCTCTAGCCACCTTTGACTAGCTGAGTTCATTCACATCAACAAATAAAATCTACTTCAGGCAAAAGGCTTTAAATCAAACATGCTGGAAGAGGTGGTCTGGTCAATTCCGGGCATTTCTCACTGCCTGTAAAAGCATTTTCTTTACAACAACCAATATTAAATCATGTTCACTCTATTTCAAGTTATGAAATGTAACAAAAGTCAACTGATCTTTCAAAAAAATCCTTAAATCAGGGTTAGATGATACTCTCTCATTCATCAATGATTCTGTATCACTATAAGAAAAGTAGTATGACCAGAGTTTTGGTGGGTGTAGGGTAAGCTGTCAAATTACGCTAAATAAGGGCAGACTTATCTTGTGACTGAATGTTTCCAGTGGTAAGTCTCGCTGTATAGAGTTGGAAAAAGGCCAGCTATTCTGTTGAAAATCACCTATCAATATGCTATTTCACTATAGAATGCATCACAGTTAAGTCCAATCCTACATTCACTTCTCCACATTCTAGCAGTCACTAGCTAGCAATCAGAACCTGGAAACTTAGCTGATTCTGGTTTTCTGTCTTCCCAATCATGCCCAGGGCGCCGAGGTCAATTCCAGAGACAGCCAAAACATTACCTGCTAGAGAACTATTTGCTGACCAAGAGGGAATAGCACTTCGCCGCTGGTAGAACAGGATATATGCAGTCTGCTTACAGACATCATCTTCCAAAAGCTGCTGAACGTCACTGTCATCAAAACAGTACCAGAGTCCATCAACAGAGTTCTTGCAGTAAGCTATGTAATAAGATGGGAGAGATGCTGGTTAGTCAAAAATCAACAATTGTGTATAGTGAAAATAAAATTTTAGTAAACTTGGAAGTCAGGAAAATTAGAACAGTGAAGGCAGATTGTCCTCTCAGCTATACAGCAAGAGTTGGATTCATGAACTCTCTACAAAAAAAAGGTAGCAAATAAAGTCAATGGACTGGGTTAGTCCCAGTCTACATACATCCTTTCAAAAAAAACTTAGGGAACTCTTGGATCTTAGAAGTATTCTTTTCCCCAGGAAACAAATGGCACCTGCACAGCTTTTAACAAATACACCCACTTAAATAAGAGACAGGTTAGGATGGTGGACAGGACAAAAGTAGAGCAACATTGGGCTAGGTGTACCACTGCCCTGCAGTGGGGCCCCTACCTGTGTAATGCCCTCCTTGCATGGTACCATGATGATTGCACACCGCATACAGATCATAGAGGTAGTCTTCGGGATCCCTACCAAGCCCGTAGGGCCGTCTCCATGGCGACCAATGAGAAGGAAGGCTCCAGCTGCTCTGGCTACGTTTTACCACATGAGGAGTCATGTCCAGGCCTGTGAGGGGAAATTTCACCAGGTTCTGTAGCTTGGTCCTTTTATCCCCTTCCTGATGGGAGGGAAGGCAGAGAAAATGTTTGTTTTAAACAAAAGATAAGCAGTTACACAGTGAGTGCCAGATCAATACAATGCAGCGAACCATTGAGGGCTCCTTTTTCAGATTTTCTAGAGGATTCCTTTCCGACTTTAGGGCAGAAATTTCATTCTCACCAACTCTTATTAGATAGTGCAGTCACGTCATAACACATACAGAAGGTAACACTGAATCTTTTGAGTTTTCTTTAGATAAGATAGCACAATTGCCAAAGATTGCATACATTGAGACACAAATAAAGACAGCACTAATCATGTCCATCCTGAGTAGGTGCCTACTATTTCTATCCTATCTCTTGCCACAGCAAATTTCCTCATGCGGTCAATAATCTGCCTCCAAACTCTACGAGCTTCAACTTTAGCTAGCAGTCTCTCAAAAGGCATTTCATTAGATGCTTTCTGGAAGTCCACATAAATATGGTCCATAGACATTCCCTGGCTATTACTTTAGACATTCCTTCAAACAGTTCATTGAGGTTTGTCAGGTAAGATCTAATCTTTGCAAATCATCTCGGATCAGCTGAAACGTTTCAGGGTGTTCAGTCACTCTATCCTCAATTACAGACCTTGGCTATTTTCTCCATTAAAATGTAAAGAACACTATATGTTGACTGGGATTTCAGCTGTTTAGAATTTAACTATTAGTTTACTGCCCAATATTTTGATGATGAAAGATACCTCATACAGCTTTCAAGTTCCCAAATAGACATTAATCTCCATTGCAGTTTTTAATTATTTGTCCAATTTATTAACACAATATTTTCATTTTGCCAGATTAAATTTGTCAGAAAATAATTTGTCTCAAAAGTAAAATCTCGAAAGTATCAGCATCATTGGTAGGGATTAAATACATATCTGGCAAGGGGTTGATCTTTGCAACACCTTTCTTTAACATTGGGGTCTGTACAAAACTTCTCCAAAACCACGTCAGCCTCCACTGTGCCACAGCATTCCAGCTCCACCATGGACTCAAAGTGCTGCTCCTATGACATCGCAGCTTCAGGCCAGTGTGGCTGTTATTGCGTTTTGGGGAGGGGAGGGGGGACGATGGTTACTGGGCTCGTTGGCTCCCACCCCTGGCCCTCAGCCACACGTACAAGGAATTGGAGAACATCCCAAATTCTTTTGCCACTTTGGTAACACAAGTAAACTAGCCAATATAGAGGTAACTGGAGCTGGGTCAGGATGGGCAAGTTTCTCTCCACCCTGTACTGGGCCTCCCCCACCAGTAAGATGGCCCTACTAGCCAGACCTTGGCTTTGGCACCCAACCTCTTGACTGAAGTTCAGGTCCAGTCCCAATGGGCACTCACCTCTCTCCAGCACCTGAGTGATGGCTCCCTGGGGACAACACAGTTAGCTTTCCTACATACTACAAGATTGGTCAAAATAGCTCCCCCAGTCACAGGTTCTACATTTTTCCCCATTGGTCACCCTCAAATATTCTGGGCAAGAATTTTACCTAGCGCTCCAGGTATTTTGAGTGCAGATGCAAATACACAGTCATGTGAAACATTGGATGCTGTGTACATCAAATGGTAAGTTCTGTATAAAATACACATGGATACAAAAAGTAGCAGACTTACTCTGATTCACGGTATTCTTTACAGGTCACCCATCCTGAACAAATTATCAATTAAAGAACATAAACCACATAAGAGGAGTTACCTGATATCCATTTCCCCTTGCTCAGCTTGAATGGAATCAAAAGAATGGACTGTGCTTTCACTTCCTCCATTCTTCTCTAAAGCACTCACCTGCTTAAAGCGTTTCAAGTGGATAATAAGAACATCAGGAAGTGTCCACAAGCTCAGCTTGATGCTGCCCTGCTGAAGCTGCTTACAATGTGGGCAGCGCCAGGCATCATCTGGTGCCAGCTGTCAACCAACAAAACACACAATCAGAAAAGGCACTGCATATTCAGAACCTAAAAATAAAATAAGGGCATAGGAACAGCAGCAGGTCATTCAGCCAAACCAACCTTGTATGTTCAATCTTAAACGTGAAATCAGCAACTACACTAGTTATAAAACCTGGAATGCTGCAATGTGTTTTTAGCCACAGGACTAGAAGGTTGCTTTTATGGACGGAGGTTCTTTAGCTGCCTCAAAGTAACAGACTGAACCATGTGACACTTGCAACACAGACAACCCACAGTAATTTTACAAGTATTTACTACAGCTTTCCTGAAATTTCAAACACTTGTTTCTCCCACAGACACACTATCACAGCTGGTGCTTTTGCTGCATTTACCTGTTCTTCTTTGGTGTAGAGATGAAAGCACTGGGATAAAGTGTAGGTCTGAGGCTGGTGATGAAGTTGCTGCTGCTGGCGAACACTTTCCGAGTCTGGCACATACTCATCCTCAGCACTACCAAACAAACTGTAAGCCAAACAAGGAACATTAAAATTGGACACCAGATCTGTCAGAAAATGCAAAAGCATTTTATTTCTTATTCATTCATGGGATGTAGATGTCGGGAGCTAAAATGTACCTCATTCGGAATCCTTTGGACAGCTCCCTTCTCTCCTCACCAGCACACACCATTTACCCTTGGAACTTAGTCCCACCTCCTGACCGAGAATGTAACAGGAAAATGTGCAAGTAACCGTCACTAGGACATACCATCAAATCAAGTATACAGGTCTTTCCTGCAGTTACCCGGCAGTCACTGCTTCTTGACCAACCTGAGAGTAGGACACCAAGTATTAGGAATGGTCTCCTTCTGCCCATTCCCACATATACAGACCCAACGAAATGAAAAAAAAAAATCACCAAGGATCCTGCTCAAGATGCAAATTTTGACTGGATTAGATTGCGAATCTGTTTTAATACAAAGGAAGCTATGGAGACTGGTCAAAAGAAAAGTAAAACAGCTTAGAATACAAGAAGTTTACATTGCTTACTATTCTTTTGTGTCTCTGTCCCATTCCACAATTATCTTAACATGCTGGGGTCCACCAGGTCTGCAGGATTTCCACGCTCTGAAAAGACACATCAAATACCAATAGTCATATCAAATACACATGCAAATATTTTGGCGCAAATTCTTTCTTAAATAATTTAGAGCTGAGGCCGAAGCTTCATATGGTGACAGAAAATTTAAAAGCTCAGTTAGATTTAGCATTGGGTTGTTATCTCAATGCAAGTACAGCCCTGGCGCTATTCCAATGTAGCACTGGAGTAAACTCTGGATAGCAATTCCCGTTGTGCAATCTCTAGAATAATTGGCATTACAGGGAAAAATCACCAGAGGAATCTCCATAGCAGCTTGCGTTAAACAGTGCCTTTAAGATAGTTAAGCCATTATAAAATTTACAGCTGATATCAATCAGCAATTAGTAGGTTTATTTAGGTAAAACCAGTAGCACAGATCTGATACTTGAAATCCACACCTTCAGGATCAAGACTATGCCAATTTCAGACTTTTCCATATTTTGAATTACCTATCAGTTAAACAGGCACCTTGTGTGTACGATCGATTCTACTCTCCCAACTCATAATGGTGTTGTTTACACAACTGCATCCAAAGGCAACACACTGTGAGATGTGCAGATTTAAAACACACCAGGAATTGAACCCAAGTTTATTTAAGGATTGCCTTTATGAAGTGAAGCAATAGTGCACATCTCTTACGAATTCTATCATTTAGGATCAGCCAGAGGGTGCTCCCTTCATTCCCACACTTACTATGTTCCAGGAGAGGTGCCGAGATCTCTAGAGAAAAACGTCAAGTTTTCAGACAGATTGTGGATAATGTACCTGTAGTGACATTAAAATCAGCATTGGCTAGACACACACTGACCCCAAGTTGTACAAGAGCTGAAGGTAATAATTTAATGCTGTAGTCACTGGACAAGGAATCCAAAGCTCCATGCTGATGCGCTGGGAACATAGGTTCAAGTCCAACCACAGCATATGGTGAAATTTGAATTCAATAAAAATATGAAATTAAAACAATGGCATTAAAAAATTATCACCATGTAGACGCTGGTGATGGTCATAAAACCCATCTGACTCACTAATATCCTTTAGGGAGAGAAATCGGTCATCCTGATCTGGTCTGGCCTACATGTGGCTCCAGGCCAACAGCAACGTGGCCAACTCTTAACTGTCTCTGAAGTAGCCAAGCAAATCACTGCAAAACCTCAGTTAACGAATGAAATTAGGTGGGTCACTCAGCATCAGCAAACACACTGGAAATGACAAATGCAAAAGCAGACATAGCCCTGTCAACCTTACAAAATAATTATCTGGGGTCTCGTGGCAAAATTGGGAGATGTCCCACAGGCTACTCAAAATATTCATAGAATATAGCAACATCCTGGACATCACAATCCCTGGGCAAGCAGCGGTGGCAATCCAGTGGTAAGCAATCATGAGGGAGTTACACTGAGAGCCTTCAACATGACTACAGACCCCATGAAGTCTCATGGCATCAGGTCAAAAATGGAGAAGGAAACCTCCTATGATTACTAACTACTTCCCAACTACTGTCTAATGAATCAGTACTCCTCTATTGAACACCACTTGGTAGAAGTATTGAAGGTGGCAAGGTCGAAGAATGTACTCTGGATTGAGGACTTCAAATCCACATTACCAAGAGTGGCTTGGTAGTACCACTATTTCGCCAAGATGGTGGCACAGTAAGTCACTCCAATCAGAACTTCACTTTGCTCGCCAGTCCCCTTTCCTTTTCCTTTCTATCCCTCTTCTTCTCTCTCCTCTCTGCAGTAATTCTATCCCCCCCACCTCCTGCACTTTTAACTATCTACCTAAGGAGTTGGGAAGGAGTCAGGTCGCAACGGGGAACCATTACTTCACCATTACCTCCACCATAAGGTCAGAAATGGGGATGTTCACTGATTATTGCATGATGCTCAGCACCATTTGCGACTCATATACTGAAGAAGTCCACATCCACATGCAGCGAGACCTGGACAACACCCAGGCTTGGGTTAATAACTGGCAAGCAACATTCATATCACACAAGAGATAGAATAACCATCTCACCTTGGGATTCAATGGCATTATCATTGCTGAATCTCCCACCATCAATATCATAGCGGATACCATTCACCAGGAACTGAACTGGACCAGCCACACAAATACTGCAACTACAAGAACAGATCAGAGGCTGGGAATACTACAGTAGATAACTCCTGATTCCCAATACCTGATCACCATCTATGAAGCACAAATCAGGTGGTGGCATACTCTCCACTTGCCTGGATGAGCATAGATCCAATCACGTAAGAGGTTTAACACCATCCAGTCTGCTTGAGTGGCAACACAACCACCTACCACATTTACCACCTATACCACCAACGCAGAGTGGCAGCAGTGTGTACCATCTAGAAAAGATGCACTGTAATAACTGACAGCACTTTTGAAACCATGACTTCTATTACATGAAAGGGCACATCAAATGTATGGGAATACCACCATCTGTAAGTTCCTCTCCAAGCGACACACCATCCTGTCTTGGTACTGTATCGCCATTCCTTCAGTATCACTGGCTCAATATCCTGGAATTTCCTCCCTAACAGCACAGTGGGCGCCCCTACGCCACTGAACTGTTGTGCTTCAAAAAGCCAATCCATTAACACCTTCAAAGGACAATTAAGGAAGGACAATAAATACTCACCTTGCCAGTGATGCCTACCTTCCATGACTGAATTAAATAATATGGGGTGCACTTATGAGGCTGAAGTGATTTTTCTTCAAATGTCTGATACACAAGAGCAAGGTATATCTAAGTATAGCTTAAATCTTAAAAAAATAAAACTTTTGCTGATAGTACTGTAAGGAGTAAACTCAGTCTCACTTAGGTACTGAATTTTTAACTAATTTGGTGAATGTAATTATACTCAAATTCTCTGTCATTATTCGTAAAGCTGGCACCAAATTCCATTTCAAGGTTCGGCTCACTATGTCCCTTGTCTCATATACCGATGATGGATCCAGTTAACACAAATGGAAGGAAACAACAAGGAATTACCTTTCTGCTGCCAATTGGCACAAGGGATACTCTTCCTGAGGAGAAAGGTAAGATTTCCCCATGCCACCTCCAAGGACTCGCAAACTAAAGGGACCAACCTAGAGAAAGAGCAAAGAGAATTTAAAAAGCATGAGCACTGCAGCCACTTTATGGCTTTCAGCACAGGACTGCAGGGAATCAGTAAAATCTCATCTTCTTCAGCATCAGTTTAAAAAGATTCCTTCTCCAGACAATACCATATTTATTTTTGTCATGTTCTTTGACCTTGTGTTTTACAACCCCTCAGTTTCAGATTTCTTTTATTCACAATCTTTATTCAATCTGAATCTTAATACAGTTCATTTAGCTTACCCTTTTAGAAACTATCTAGCATTCCAGCCGCATCACAATACTGTTCAAGAATGCCAAGTACATCTCCATCCACTGAAGAATTTCCTGACATCAGACTTAATTTAGATTTAATGACCGAGTCTGCACATATCGTTCGAAAGCTACAGTTCATTTTACATTTTCTATTCTGTTTGCATTCTGTACATTCTAGGATGCGTTCTCAGACACCATCTTTCAAGGTAAAATTACCCGAACCTTTTCGTCCACAGTTGGTTTTTTTTATATTAATTGGCCTCATAAATCTCCACAGTAAGAAAACTACTTGTGATAAAGGGGATCAACTGACAAGGAGGTATGTCATGCAATTTAAAAGGAATGTAGACTCAAATCTAACAGCAGCAAAAGATGTTTCCATTTGAAACAGGTTAACTTATTCCCTCCACTGATCCTCAGTAAACACAATTAGAGTCAGTCATACAGCTTGGAAACATACCCTTCAGCCCAACTCATCCATGCTGACCAGGGTTCCTAAACTGAACTAGTTCCATTTACCTTCGTTTGGCCCATATCCCTCCATACCTTGCCTATCCATGCACCTGTCCAAGTGTCTTTTAAATGCTGTAATTGTACTCGCCTCTGCTACTTACTCTGGTAGTTTGTTCCATATACATACCACCCTCTGAAAAGTTTGCCCCTCTAGTCCCTTTTAAATCTTTCCCCTCTCACCTTAACCTTATGCCGTCTAGTTTTGGACTCCCCTACCCTGAGGAAAAGACATTGGCTATTCACCTTATCTATGCCCTTCATCATTCTTTAAACTTTTATAGGTCACCCTTCAGCCTTCTACACTCCAGGGGATGAAACAAAAGCCCCAACCTAACCAGCCTCTCCTTATAACTCAAACCGTCCAGTCTTAGTAACATCCTTATACATCTTTTTTGAATCCTTTCCAATTTAATAACATCCTTCCTATTGCAGGGCAATTACACACAGTACTCCAAAAGTAACCTTACCAATGTCTTGTACAGTTGTAACGTGATATCCCAACTCCGGCACTCAATGCTCTGACCAATGAAGGCAAGCAAGCTAAACAACTTCTTCAGCAACCTGTCTACCTGTGACACCACTTTCAAAGAACTATGTACCTGCACCCCTAGTCTCTCTATTCAACACCATTCCCTGAGGGCTTAACTGTGTAAGTCCTTTCCTGGTTACCAATATGCAGCACCCTGCATTTATCTAAATTAAATGTCACGTGCCATTTCTTGGCCCCCTTGCCCAGTTGATCAAGATCCTGTTGAACTCTTAGATAACCTTCTTCACTGTCCACTACACCACCAATTTTGGTGTCATCCACAAACTTACTAACCATGTCTCCTTAATTCTCATTCAAATTGTTTATATAAGTGAGAAACTACAGTGAACCCAGCATCAATACTTACAGCACACCGCTGGTTACAAGCCTCCAATCTGAACAACAACTTTCTGCCACCACTCTCCATCTCTTACTGCCAAGCCAATTTTTGTATCCAATTGCCTCTCTCCCTGCATCCCATGTGATCTAACCTTACTAACTAGTCTACCATGCAGAACCTTGTAGAAGGCCTTGCTAAAGTCCATGTAGGCAACGTCTATCACTCTGTCTTCATCTGTCTTCTTGATCACCGGTTTAAAAAAATTAATCAAGTTTGAGAGACACGATTTCCCACACACAAAGCTATGCTGACTATCCCTAGTCAGTCCTTACCTTTCCAAATGCATGCAGATCCTGTCTCTCAGTACCCCGTCTAACAACTTACCCACCACTGACATCAGGCTCACCAGTGTAGATCCCTAGCTTTTCCTTGCAGCCTTTTTAAAATAATGGCACAACATTAGCCACCCTCTAATTTTCTGGCACCTCACCTGTAGCTGTCAATTATACAAATACCTCTGCTAGGGGCCCTGCAATTTCTTTCCTAGCTTCCCACAATGTCCTGGCGTATACGCAATCACGTCCCAGGGATTTATCTATCTTTATGCGTTTTAAGACCTCCAGCACCTCCTCTTGTCTAATGCGGACTATTTTGAAGACATCATTATCTATTTCCCCAAGCTCCTTAAATTCCACATGGTTCTCCACAGTAAATACTGACGCTAAATATTTGTTTAGGGTCTCCACCATGTCCTGTGGTTCCACACATAGACGGCCTCGTTGATCTTTAAAGGGGCCCTATTCTCTCCGTAATTACTCATATGCCCTTAATATATATGTATATGTAGAATCTCTATGGATTCTCCTTAATCTTATGTGCCAAAGCTCTCTTTTTGCCCCCTTGATTTCCCTCTAAAGTGTACTCCTGCAAGCCCTACACTCCTCAAGGGATTCACTTGATCTCAATTGTCTACGACTGATGTAAGCCTCCTCCTTTTTCTTGACCAGAGCCTCAATACCTTAAGTCATCCAGTGTTCTCTATTCCTGCTAGCCTTGCCCTTCGTACTAACAGGAATATGCCATCCCTGAACTCTCATTATCTCACTTTCAAAAGCCTCCCACTTGCCAGATGTCCCTTTACCTGTGAACAGCCTCCCCACAAACAACTTCTGAAAGTTCTTGACTAATACATTAAAATTGGCCTTGCCCCAATTTAGAATTTAAACTCATGGACCAGGCCTATCCTTTTCCATAACTATTTTAAAACTCAGAATTATGGTCATTGATCCCAAAGTGTCCCCCACTAATACCTCAGTTACTTGCCCTGGCATATTTCTAGAGAGGAGGTTGAGTTTTGCCCCTTCTCTAGTAGTATTGGGGGACCTATAGTACAATTCCATCAAAGTGATCACCTCCTTTTTCTCAGTTCCCTTCATTTGGCTTCACTGGATGACTTCCCAAGAAAAAAAAGTGTCTCTGTTTACTGCCATTATATTTTCCCTAATCAAAAACGCCACTCCCCCTCCTCTCTTGCCTCCCCTTCTATCCATCCTATAGCACCTATACCACACAAAATTGAGCTGTCCCTCCCTCAGCCAGGTTTCTGTAATAGCTATGATATCCCAGTATGACGCTCCCATCCATGCCCAGAGTTCAGCTGCCTTACCTGTCAGGCCTCTTGCAGTGAAATAAATGCAGTTTAAACCATCAGTCTTCCTTCATTCTCTGCCATACTCTTGCCTGCCCTGCCTATTTAACTAACTCTGTTTAACTTCTGTACCAGCCTCAAACTTCTCTTGTCTCATTACTACACCCCTGCCAGACTAGTTTAAACCCTCCTGAGTAGCTCTACCAAATAGCCCCACCAGGATAGTGGTCCCCCTCCAGTTCAGATGCAACCTGTCCCTTTTGCACGGATCACTTCTGCCCCAGAAGAAATTCCAATGATCCAAATATCTGAATCCCTGCCCCCTGCACCATCTTCAACTCAACATGAAATATCAAAGGAAAGAAACAGCAAAGGTGCATTTTTTGGGATGATTATAGATAAGTTGAACACAGCAATAGGATAAAACCATCAAAACAACCTTACTTTGCCAATCAATGTCACTAAGGCTTACACGGCAGAGATATTAATTACTAAAGCAAGCCTTTTTATTTATTCTTTCACAGGACTTGGACATCACTAGCTAGGTCAGCATTTATTTCCCATCCTTAATTACCCACAGGGCAGTTAAGCATCAACCACATTGCAATGGATCTGGAGTCACATGCAGGATAGCAAATTTCATTCTTAAGAAGGACATTAGTGAACCAGAAGGGTTTTTACAAAAATTGACAGTGGTGACATGGTTGATTTTACTGAATTCAAGTTTGGTGAAATTCAAACTCACATTCTGGACTGTTAGCTACTACTACGTCAACACCTCTTTTAAATATTTCAATGCCCCCAGTTACTGGTGCACATCAATTCTTCCAGTTCACTGCATTGTGATGAAATACCTTTCTCCTGGTTAGAGGTCTACAGCACAGGAAAAGGCCCTTCAGCCCATTGAGTCTGTGTCAGTCAAAGCCAACCACCTATTCTAATCCCACTTTCCAGCACTTGGCCTAAAGTCTTGTATACCTGGACATCGCAAGTGCACATGTAAATACATTAATCTTACCAAAGTTCCTGCCTCTATCACCTTTACAGGCAGTGAATTCCAGATTTCCAACACCCTAAGAGAAAACATTGTTCCTCACATACCCTCTAAAACTCCTTTCCTTGCCTTAAATCTATGCACAGTGGTCATTGATCTCTCTACCAAGGGGAAAAATTCCTTCCTGTCTACTCTAGCTATGCCCCTCATATTGTCCCTGCTCAGTCTCCTCTGCTCCAAGGAAAACAACCCAAGTCTATCCAATCTCTCTTCATAACCAAAACTTTCCTGCACAGGCAATGGTCTGATAAATTTTCTCTCTACCTTCCGCGGTGCAATCACATCCCTCCTATAATGTGGATTTAAACTTACTAGACTTGAATTATGTTCTGATTTTTCATACTAGGATTTGTATATAGTTCCCAAACTCACTGGATTTCTTTCTACCATCTGGCACGCAACCACTCCACAAAACCACATCTGTCCCCACATTTCTATAAGCTCACTTGCTAGCTTGTCATTTCTGTTTGTGTAAAAATAAAAGTATATTTTCTGCTACAGCATCATTTGCTTTCAGGCAACGATTGGAAATTGCTGATATTGCCAAGATATATCATCACATGATTGAATGCTCAAGTGGGAAAATGTCTTTTACCCACTTTTTCTACTGTTTGTTGTAGTTAAAATATTAAGATTAATCAAAAGGTGCAAAGCTAATCTTGCATCCTCTGATGGTACAATTACTGATTCTGGAGTATTTGTTTAAACAAATCCCCTCAAAGGCAGAAGGACCTAGTAGCCAGCCTTACCTCAGTGAACATCCCTGGCCTAAACAAATGACGCATCTTCTCCAAAATATCTTTCTGCAGTCCTTCCCATGTTATTTTACGATCCAAACAGAGTACAAAGGGATGACCAAACCTAGAAAAACAGATATCAACAAGGACAACAGAAGCAGTTGAAAATGAATTCAGGTATGTAATGGCAAAGTTTTATGGTCTCACTGAAAAGTCAGTGATAAATTTAAACTTTGATTTTTATTTCTCTAAGCCATTAACTTCAAGTTGGTCACTATGCTGCACTTTGTGTTAACCAATTCACTTGATCAGTTAATTAAGTCAGAGAGGTTGATTTCATTAATCATTCTGCCAAGACTACAAAATTAGAATTCTGAATGTAAATTAACAAACTTGTGCGTTTATAGAAAAATACTGCAATGCCTGTATGATATCAACATGCCACAAAAAGTGGGCTTTTTGCTTCCTCAGCATCCACAAGGGGCCAGGATATTTCTGCTTCAGATGGCAATTATAAGAGTTGTCTCTGAGAAAAAACAATAATATCGACACATGGGACTTGTCGATAAAAAAATCTAACGAATCTAAATGGATTATAGCCATATCAGCTAAATCTAAACTTGTCAGTTAAAAGACCTTTTAACTTTGTTTTATTGATGGCATTGGCCAAAATTAACAGCAGCCAGTGAAGATTAGTTCCAGGCCAGCTGCAGAGTGAAGGAAAGGGCAGTTCACCGTTCCCTCTGGACTGATCCAATGATGTGTTCACTCTCGCATCTCCACCTGGTGCATTTTCATTTCAACTTAGCCATATGTCAACCCAGAACTAAAACTGCCCTACTCTAAAAGATCACCATCTCCATCCATCTAAATTACCCTAGCACATCCATCCAACTGGTCGAACTTACATATGGTAGCAAATGCATCAATAGTCACTGCCATGCAAGTGAAAGTTTTGAGAGCTCAGTCTGGGGCAGAGTATCATCGTCAGATTAAAGGTTGTCACAACGTTATTATATAGGTCTTTTTTGTTTATTATTCTAGTCTATGTTTTAGATATGCTCTTGAAATGAAACTATCAGGAACACATTTAACATAATGTCATTTGAATTTTGAGGGCCAGAGGACCAACACTAATATAGGTTATTAAACATTACCACACACCATGCAAACCAACTTTACCTATTCTGTTGCATTACATAGTGCCTCATTTATTCAGCAAGAAATCAAAAATATTGCTGAAAAGATAACTGGTAACAATGTTTTTTGTCTTGCACTCATCAGAACACAAGAATACAAATTTTCACAAATGACAACAGCTTATACCACAACAGCAAAGGAATGCTGATTCGATCTCAAGTCAATTCTTATTGGCAAGAAGTTACATGGAAAAGCTACATGGAACTACAGGCTCTAGATATTCTAGATATCGACAAAGATGCAAGGATTAAAGATATTCCTTCCAGTTTGCAGAGAATGGGCCCCTGCATATGAATGTATGTTGCTTCTAGGAAGCATAACTGAGCCACATTACCAGCATGACTGATTATTTTAAACTGATTGTCGGTGCATCTATTAGAAGGCTTAGAATTTTTAGCAAGTGCTGCCCAATTATAGAATCACATCTAACAGCAGATGTCTTGTTAGCATAGCTTAATTCAGTATTGTCTGCCTCAAAATCGAAATATCCTCCTCACAATTCTCACTCCCACCTGGTTGTGTATCATCTGCAAAACTTGGAAATATTACATATAATTCCCACATCAATATCATTGATATATATTGTGAATAGCTGGAGCCCAAGCTCTGCGCCTTACAGTATCCCACTAGTCATAGCCTGCTAACTTGAAAATGACCCATTTATTGCTACTTTCCAGATTATAGACATCAGCCAGTTCTCAATTCATGTCAGTGTATTACCCACACATCCCCAGTTTAAGACCACAGTACTACTTTTTTTCACTACTATTAATATTCACCTTGCCTTAATAACACTAGTCCCTTGATCCTCCATTATTTCTGGGAAGTTTTTTCAGTATTTTCATCTGAGACAAAGTATATGTTAAATTCCTCTGCCACTTCCTTATTGCTCATTATTAATTCTCTTGACTCTGCTAAATATAAGTTGATGTATTTTTGCCATCCCTATAGAAGCTTTAACGGTCCATCTTTGTGTTTCTTGCTGATTTACTCATTCCACTTTTCTTTATTTAATCATTTCCTTGGTCATCTAAAATCCTGCCAGTCTACGTCATACTGTTTAACGTAGTTTCCTAATCCACCACAGTGAATCAGGCCCACATAACTTCATAGTTTCCTTTGCTTAGATTTAAGATTCTAATTTTGGTTAACTTATACAACTTTCAAACTTACATAAAATGCTATCAAGTTGCGGTCAGTCTTTGCTAAATGCTCCTCCACAGCAAGATATTTAACTAACCCTCTATTATCAAGTAATACAAACTCTTTTATCATCATATAAAACAGACCACTCCCTAGTTGGTTTCCCAAAGTACTGCATTAAAAAAATCTCTCATATGTTCCAAGAGTCTGACTCCACAACATTAGTACTAATTAGATTTACTCAGTCTATATGTAGATTGATGTATTGAAACCCCCAAGATTAGTGTAATACCCTCGTTACATGCACTTCTAATTTTCTGATATGTACTGTGATTTGCATTATTACTGCTGTTTGGTGGCCTAATCACAATTCCGAGCAAAGTTCTCTGCCCCTTACTGCGCTTAGTTCTACCTAAATGATTTCTGCGTTTTGAACTTTAGAACAAAGATTTCATTACAGTTCCAATGCCCTTTTCAATTAACAAGATTTATCACACCACCTCTTCCCAAATGCACAACTTCCAGGATGCGTCATATCAAGGTCCCGGCTGGGCTTTGGTTTCCTCGTAGCCACGTCTGTGATGACTCTCAGAAAATACATTTGAACTTGTATTTGAGTTGGCAATTCCACATGATTTGTTGTGAATGCCATGGGCATTCTGATGGTAGAGTCATTAGTTCAGGTTTTTGGTTTTAATTTTTTATATAAACTCTGGCCTTGTCTGATGGCACAGCCTTAAATTTGCAGTCACTGTTCCTTCGTACCATTGCCTGATTATCATGATTTTTATTGCTGCCTTTACCTATGGTCTTGTCACTTTACTTTAATTTACCCAATTTTCCTCTGCATGATCCCTTCCACTTCCACTTAATTTAAAGCCCTCTCCGTTTCCCTAGTTATATAACTGGCTAGAACACCAGCTCCAGCACTGTTCAGATGAAGTCCATCACAATGGTTTAGCCCCCACTTTCCTCAGTACTGGTAGAGTTACACAAATCAGAAGCCACTTCTCCCACACCAGTGTTTGAGCCAAGCATTCATATCTCTCGTGTTCCTTACCTTATCCAATTTGCATGTGGCTCAGGTATACTACTTTGACATTCTGCTTTTGAATCAGTACCTGGCTCCTCATACTGTTAATTGGATCTTCTTTCCCAATCTTACCTGTTACTGGTACTACTGGCAATAACAATTGGATCTGCTCTCTCTCACTGCAAATGACTCTCCAGCCCCGACCAGATATCTGAATTCTGGCGCAGGACAGAATCCAGAAGGCTGTTGCTTGTCACTCGGTTACACAGTACAGCATCTATGTCCCTGCTCTGTAGTCCTCTAATACCACCACATTCTTTTTAACTGCCCTGCTTGAATGGCTTCCTGTAACATAGTGCAATGGTTATTGGTTCATCTGTACTATAGCTCTTATTCATTCAAAGGTGCAAGAAACTTAAACCTGTTGGACAACTATAGGGCTGAAGCTCCTCCATTTACACTTTCTTGATGCCCTGACCTTTCAAATGTGCAGTCACATCCTCCTGAACTTAATCATGAATCAAATCAGACAATGCCAAGCAAAAACGTGTGACTGCCTTCAGGTACAAAGTTTGCAGGTAACATTCCACATCCCTGATGCATCACTGCCTCCAGTTTGATCTCCAGGTCAAAGGCAAGATGGAGTTCCTCAAGATGTAAGATCCCACAGATGCAGTTGCTATGGGCCATCCTGACATCCAGGTGCTTGAAAATGCTGCAGCCATGAAGACATGAACCCCTCCTGCTATCTTATTGTGTTAATTTTCTCAATTAATTTGTAGTTCTGTTCAATCACCTAACTACTGGCTTCTCACTTAATGTAGGCAAGCAGCACTCTGTGCAGGGAAACACAGAAATCCTTATTTTACAAAAAGAGTATAAATACATTGAATGCTCCTTGTGGTGCAATGGTTTTGTCCCTACTTCTAGCCCAAAAGGCCTAGCTTCAAGTCCCATCTGCTCCAGAGGTGCATCATAACATGTCCGAATACATAGATTAAAAATATCTACTAACACTATCAGTCAGCTCTACTAAAGCTGAGAAACTTCCTTAAACCAGTTAACTTATTAACTAGTGGCACCTGTTCTGACAGACATTGCAAACCCTGTTTAAGCCTTCTTTTAAACAGCAATTTTTAGTTAGTTACTGAATATAAAACAAAAATTAGACTTCAGAGAGAGATTAACCATTAAGATCATCTCATTCACCCCAACTCCTGGTTTCACACAAGTTAGGGGGACAGACTGATCCGTTTCCTTAAATCCTCCTCCAGTGGTCACATTAACATTTGAATTTAAAAATGAAGATGAAATTGCCAATTATATACTAAACTTAACTAGATTGCCAGGGGGATGGGATCCTGACAAGGAGAGGGTAGCCAAGTTAGTATGGAATTCCACATAATATAGAACGCAAAGTTAAAACAGGGAGCAAGTCAGCCTGGAAAGCAAAGGGAACATGGACTAGATAAGAGAAAGGTAAGTTTACATTCCTGGTTATAGGGTATTCATATAAATAGACAGGGGGATAGAAGAAAGAGGAGTCACAATACTGATCGAGCAATCAATTATAGCAGTGAGGGGAATGATATCTTGAAAGGATCATCAAATGAGAACATATGGATAGAAAGTAAAAAAAAATAGAAAATGGACGCACACTGTTAGGTATGTACAATAAGTTCCCAAACAAACAGTCAGAGAAATAGAAAATAAAAATGTGTAATCACACTTCAGAGAAGTGCAATAACATAGCAATAGTAGGGAATTTAAACTACCAATACCAACCAGGATAGGTTTAGAATGCAAGATAGGAGGAGAACAAATTCTTAAATTGCATCCAAGAAAACTTTTTCAGCCAGTACATCAAAAGCCTAATAAGCGAGGGGAGTAGTTCAAGGCCTAATATTCTAAAACGAGCCCAGAAAGGTAGAAGACTTATCACTAGGGAAGCATTTAGGAGATATCGTGCAATCTCACGTTATAAGAAAATCGCGCAATAGCTGCGCCATTTAAACTAATGGGACTGGAATCGCGTTACAGCCAATACAGGTAAGTAAAGTTCATGTTCTATAAATGGTGGTCTAAATTCTTCAATCATGTTCAAACCTATTTGCGTTGAAGAAACACGCGTAATAGCAGCACCATCTATAGTGTCCACAGCTTAGTCAGACTTAGGATCATTATGGAAAAGGATAGGCATTGGCCAGGAATAGAAGTTCTGAACTTGGGGAAGACTAATTTTACTAAGGCAAGATCTGATATAGCCCAAATGGACCAGGAGTAGTCACTTGCAAATAAAACAGTGTCGGAGCAGTTGGAGGCATTTAAGGAGGAAATGGCAAGAGTACAGGGCAAATATGTGGGACTAAGATCAGAGAACCATGGATGTCAAGAAACATATAAAGTTTAAATTTTTTTTAAAAATCTTATGGCCAACATCAAGGGCTTAACCTTGCAGTCCCTAAAGGAGTATAAAAAGTGCAAGTAGTAACATAAAACAAAAATTAGGAGAAGAGTCAACGAGAAAGCATTGGCAAATAGCATAAAGAAAAACCCAAAGGGGTTTTCTAAATGTATAAACAGCAAGACGATAACTAGGGAAAAGAGTAGGGCCCATACAGACAGAGACAATCTGTGTGTGGACCTAGTAGACAAGCGCATGATCTTCAATGTCGTCATAATGGAAAAGGACAATGCAAGTACAAACATCAGGGTCGAGTACTGTGAAATATTATATGAAATTAAGAGAAAGAGGTGGTACCAGTGGGTTTAGCTGCCAAAGAGGAGATATAAAGAGCTCTGGCAATATTTTTAAATCCACTCTGGCCACAGGTGAGGTGCCAGAAGACTGCCAACATTGTCCCATTATTAAAAATGGAGGAAGGGGCAGACCAGGAAACTACAGGCCAGTCAGTCTAACCTCAACGGTGGGCAAGTTATTAGAAAGAATTCGGAGGAACAGAAAATATCCACACAAGGAGAAACACTGACTTAGAAGAGATAGTCAGTGTGAACTGCATTTTAGTAAGACGAACAAGGGCCGGACTTACAGTTAATGGTAAGGCCCTGGGAAGTGTTGTCGAGCAGAGTGACATAGGGGTTCAGGTGCATTGTTGTATGAAATTGCATCACAGGTAGACAGGGTGGTAAAGGAGGTGTTTGGCACACTTGCCTTCATTGCTCAAGCCTTTGAGTATAGAGTTGGGACATCATGTTGCGATTGTACAGGACGTTGGTGAGGCCACTTTTGGAGTACTGCATACAATTCTGGTCACCCTGCTGTAGGGAGGATATTACTAAATTGGAGAGGGTACAAAAAACATTTACAAGGATGTTACCGGGAGATGCTGGATAGGCTGGGACTTGTTTCACTGGAGCATAGAAGGTTGAGGGGTGACCTTACAGAAGTTTATAAAATCATGAAGGCCATTGATTAGGTGACCAGCCAAGGGGATTTCAAAACTAGAGGGCATATCTTCAAGGTGAGAGGAGAAAGATTTTAAAAGGGACCTGAGGGGCAATTTTTTTTTAAAATTTACACAGAGTATAGCTCATATGTTGAATGAACTGCCAGTGGTAGAAGCAGGTACAGTTACAACATTTAAAAAATATTTGGACAAGTATGTGAATAGGAAAGGTTTAGAGAGGGATATAGAGCAACTGCAGGCGAATGGGACAAGTTTAGTTTGGAAACTTGGTTGGTATGGTTGAGCTGGACCAACGGGTCTGTTTCCATGCTGTATGACTATGAATTTGTTAAAGAAAGTTTTGTTTCACAAATTTGATCAATTTTTTGAGGAAGTAACCAGTAGTGTTGAGAGTAATGCACTTGATGTGGACTTTAGCAAGGCTTTTGATAAGGTATCTCATGCCAGACTGATAATGATGGTAACAGCCAAAAGGATCCAAGGCAAAGTGGCACTTGGATCCAAAACAGGCTGAAAGTTAGGATGCCGGTATTAGGGACGTTTTTTTTCACTGGAATTTTGTTTCTAGAGGGATTCTACAGGATCAGTGCCAAGATCTTTGCAGTTTGTGGTCTACATCAATGATTTGGACTTAAATGTAAGTAAATTGATTGTAGATCACACGAAAATTGGTAGAGTGTAAATAGTGAGGATAGCCGTAAACTGCAGGAGGGTATCAATGGACTGGTCAGTTAGGCAAAGCAGTGCCAAATGGAATTCAATGCAGATTAAGTGATGCACTTGGGGAGGGCAAACAAGACAAGGGATTACACGATGAATTAGGGGACCCTGGAAAGTATTGAAATCAGAAGAACCTTGGTTTGCACATCCAAAGATCTCTGAAGGTAGCACAGCAAATAGATAAGATGGTTAAAACAACATACTGAATATTTGTCTTTATTAGTCTAGGCATAGAATACAAAAGCAAGGAGGTTCACTGGAATTGTGTAAAACACTGACTAGGTACAGCTGAATTACTATGTGCAGTTCTAGTCACCATATTATAGGAAGGATGAGATTGTACTAGAGAGGATGCAGACGAGATTTACCAGATTGCTGCCTGACGTGGAGGGTCTGAGCTATGAAGGAAGATCAGATAGGCTGGGGTTCTTTTCCTCGATGCCACAAATGTTGAATCAGTTTTGGCTGGCTGAATTCTTTTACTGGAGGAAGTGTGTAGATTCAGAGCTTTCCTTTAAGAACCCTCCACTTGTGATGATGAGGTCTTCTTGTGGATTTTCACTCATATACTTAAGAGGGATTTCATAGGAAGAGAGCAAAGACTGTTGTCCCTTTGGCAAATTCTCAGACTGTATTCAAATCAAACTTATCTTACACACTCAAATTGGGTCATGTGACACCACTTAAAAGCAATTCAGTCTTGCTGGCTCCAGTGAAGCAGCGTGGTGGACAAAACCCATGTTGTGCCCGAGGAAAGAGCTCTTCAGCCACTGGTAGAAAACAGTTGAGGGGAATTCTTGCAATTGCCTTATTTTTAGCCACTCTCTGACACTCCAATACCCACCCTCAGTGTCAACACTAACTGCTCGTTACTCCGCCAATCACTGGTTCAGAGAAAAACAGCCCATCAGCCACAAGAAAAAAAAGCCAATGATTGGAAGAACAGTTCTTCATCACTTCTATTTCCAGTGACAACCTTCCTTCAATTGGTCAACATATGATTAAATTTTTGTTGCTTCAGGGATTTACGGAGATAAATTCATCCACCATCTCCATGCATTACCTGGTTAGACCACACTTGCAATATTGTGTTCAGTTCTGGTCGCTTCATTATAGGAAGGATGTGGAAGCTTTAGAGAGGGTGCAGAGGAGATTTACCAGGATGCTGCCTGGACTGGAGGGCAGGTCTTATGAGAAAGGATGAGGGAGGAAGGTAGGGCGTTTTTCATTGGAGAAAAGAAGGATGAGAGGAGACTTGATAGAGGCGTACAAGATGATGAGAGGCATAGATAGAGTGGATAGCCAAAGACATTTTCCCAGGGCGGAAATGCCTATTACGAGGGGGCATAATTTTAAGGTGATTGGAGGAAGGTATAGGGGAGATGTCGGAGGAAGGTATAGGGGAGATGTCAGAGGTAGGTTTTTTACACAGAGAGCGGTGGGCGGGTGGAATGCGCTGCCGGCAGTGGTAGTGGAGTCAGATACTCTAGAACCTTTGAAGCAACTCTTGGATAGGCACGTGGATGATAGTATAACGTAGGGTATGCAGGGTAGTTTGATCTTAGTAGGATAATAGGTCGGCACAACATCGTGGGCCGAAGGGCCTGTACTGTGCTGTACTGTTCTATGTTCTAAATTCTATTACAACAGTGACTACACTTCAAAAGTTCTTCCTTGACTAAAAGTCATGTGGGACATTCTAAAGTTATGAAAGACACTGCAGAAATAGTTTATTTTTGTTCCATGCTTTGCACTGAGTCAGTCACATATTACACACCTTGCTTCTTCAGCATCTGGTAGGCATCTCTGATTTTTATTTTGCTTGGCAGCCACAATGTCCAACTTTTCAACATTTCTATTATCTTGGCCTTCACTTTTTCAGAGGACCACATGCCCAAGTACTGCAGTACTGTTCTATGTTCATTTTGAGCATTGGTCGGTACTCTGCCCATTACAAACAGTCACAGGATCATGGTTAAGCACAGGGTGCAAGTAGCTCCCTGTTACTTACTCCATGACAATGTTTTGGACAAACATAGCCACCTTATCAACCAAGCAGCACTCCATCAGGGTATAAATTGTTGCGACTGTCTGAAACTTGGCATTCTTGCACTTGACCTATCCAGTGCAAAATGAAGTTTCACCAACATGTCTCTTCTCAGCAATATTCATTTTTCGTACTAAAAAGCAACCAGACTTATAGAACACTTGATAGTAAATATGATTCATTCAGCTCATCAATACTAACCAGCATATCTGGCTACTTAGTGAGGTTCTTCACAGATTCAAGGCACTCCCAAGCACATCGAAATATGAGAAGAACAATTGATACATGTCTGCTCACTGGTATCATATCTTGTGCACTTGTTAAAGTACATGATCCTTAAAACTTCTGGACCACAACTTGGTGACGTCATATATTCAAATACCTTTACATATAAAATATATTGTTTGCATTCCCAAGACAATTTACCTTTTTGTCTGCTGTGCAGTGCAGCATTGGTTACACACCAGTAGTGTCCATTTCTCATACGCTGAACCCTTGTTATACACTCTTTCCAACTTGATCTGCTTCACTCCTCCATGGGGGTAAACTGGGGGCCTGAGATCACTGCTGAACGTCAGATTATTTTGATTTATGTTTGTAAGCTTGCCTGAGAAAGGATGCAGAAAGAGGGGTTTAGAAGCACCGCAGACTTGCTCTTGATTATCAAATTATAATCAGAGAAACAGAATGATCATAGAACGGAAGCAAGTTGTTTTAGCCAAAGGACTCATTAGTGTGGTTGAACTCTCAGATAGAAGCATACCTCTTTGACCAATATAGACATCAGGTATCTCAAAAGCATAAATACAGTCATTTTCATGAACAGTGTCCAGGGCATCAGCATCACTGAAGGTACGATGGAATCCATCATAATAAATTTCAGTTAGAACAATCTGAAACGAAACAAAACATCACAAGTGATAATGGCACAATATTTGATTCAAGAATTTGAATCATTGAAACTATTGTTGAGTGGCTACAGAACACCGCAGCCTTCAGTTACAAACTTTATACAAAAACCTTTAGTACAGTTGTCCAAGATGCAAAGAGTGGAAAATAGTCAGATCATACAGCCAGTCATCTCTAAAACCTGGATTAGATCACAGCACAACTTGATGAGACAAAAGTCTCGTCCTTTTCAGCCAAGTAAGAGTTGCACGCATAATCACCTGGTGCATTTGGCAGGGAGCACAGTAGCTCAGTGGTTTGTATCACATGCAGACAGGATGGTTAAGAAGACATTTAGCACTTTTGCCTTCATTGCTCAGACCTTTGAGTATAGGAGTTGGGATGTCATGTTGAGGTTTTACAGGACGTTGGTGAGGCCTCTTTTGGAGTACTGTGTCCCAGTTCGAGTTGCCCTCTTATAGAAAGGATATTATTAAGCTGGAGAGGGCTCGGAATGGATTTACTAGGATGCTGCTGGGAATGGAGGGTTTGAGATATAAACGAGCGGGTGGATAGGCTGGGACATTCTTTCATTGGAGCCTTGGAGTTTGAGAGGTGGCCTTACAGAGATTTAAGAAATCATGAGGGGAATACAGTCTTTCCCTATGGCACGGGAATTAAAGACTAAAGACTAGGGGGCATAGTTTTAAGGTGTGATAAGAAAGATTTAAAAAATACATGGGCTTTATTTTTGATACAGAGGGTGGTGCATTTGTGGAATGAACTTGCAGAGGGAGTGGTGATTGCAGGTATAGTTACAATGTTTAAAAGACATTTGGATAAGAACATGAATGAGAAATGTTTGGATGGATATGGGCCAAGCGCAGACAGGTGGGACTAGTTTAGTTTGGAATTATGGTCGGCATGGACTGGTTGGACTGAAGGGTCCAATGATAGAGAAGCACAGCTGTACTACATTTGTGTCGTAGACAGATGACTGTCGTCTGTGCTACATCATGGTTAGCAAAGAACTTGCCAAGGAAAGAAGGAAGTGGAGACTCTTCCCAAATGAAGAACCGACTGCCCAGCAAAGTGCTGCTGACAGACCTGATTGCAAAGAAAACAAAACAGTATCACAGGACATCAGGTGGCAAAATGTCAAAGATCCACAATGTGAAGGGGTATTTCAGAGAACAAATGGAGAGACCGTCAAGAGAAATGAAAGAATCATGGCAGATGTTACAACACAGGGACAGCAAGACAAACCAAAAGCAGGCTCACTAGCACTGAATATCGTAACACAGTGAAACTAAAATATTCACTGACCTTCAAAATTGCTCAATTACAGATATCAGACACCAGGTTTATAGCTTAAACAAAAATTAACAATTTATTAACAGTAACTTCAGCAGAGCAAAATTAAACAAGGTAATCTAATGAATGTTACAATTTAAAACCAATTTTCTTTGATCATTGTCCCCACTCTCTCAAAGACATACAGACACAAGTAAGGGATAAATTAAGAAGTAAACAAAAAGAGTTATAACTGGCCTGTTCACTTAAGCAGTCTTGAATAATGGTTGCTAAACCTTCAAGTAACACTGAGTTAATGAGATGTTCACTGACGCATGTGTACATCTTGCTTGAATTCTGAAGTCACAAGTCAGCATAAACAATTCTGCAGACCGATGGAGTCTTTTACTTATGTCCATAGACTGGGATTCTTTTCTCAAAACTTTTAATAATTCAATAACTGGAGGATAACTAGACAGCAACCAAAACTCTATCCAGCAGCTTTCACAGCCACACTGCTTTCTGTCCAAAACGCAGTCCCAACCAGTTCAATCCACGGTTTCTCTTTCGTTTTTCAACATTCTCTGTTTGAGTGGCCAGCATTGGCCTCCCTTTGATTGCCCCCTATTAACAACCAAGCAGCTGCCAGTCCTTGAGCATTGTACAACTCAGATACTGAAACATCCGCAGCATTCTTAGAACAATAAGCAACATGCTACCAACTTTACAGGCCAGTTCTCTTGAAAAAATACCAGTTTGTTTGTTCTTTCCTTTTTTGTTAAGCAAGCTGCTGCTCAAAGTCCAAAGCTCAATTCTTAACTTCAGCTCACAGTTCCAAATCAAAAATGAGTAAAATAAAAAAGAAAAGAATGATGGCCCCAACACACACAACTTGGAAGTCTAGTAGAACTTAGTGGAAAACCTCATTAGCAAAACTGGTGAAGCAGTGTGTGAACGATCATTAGGGCAGATAAATGTCAGAAAGAAAATATGATGATGGAATGAAACCACAGGAAGCGTAGTCAAAGAAGGATCTGTTAAAGAAATCGGAACAGTTAAGATCTGAAGATGATCAAGAACAGAACAAAACAAAAAGACAAAATTGAATGCAAAGAAAACGATGCTAGAAAAAGATCCCTGACCTTAGAAAATTACCATGAAATGTAGATAGCAAAAAGGAACAAAAAAAAACTTCAGAACAGCTGTTAGAGACAGATGTGAAAAATACAGGTACACGGAAAGGTGCAGGTAAAGCAACCTTCGTGAAAGAGGATAAAATCAAACAGAGCCAATACAGCAATAGATTTATTAATTAAGAAAACTGAGAAAACATAACCATTAACTGCAAATCAAAGAGTAACAATTAACATTAATGTGAAACAAATCAGAACAGTGCTCAAAGAAATGAAAAATAGCAAAGCAGTGATGAGATCAACTACTAGATCTGCCTAGGTGAAAATGGGTCCAAGTCCTAAAACTGGTATTCACAACTGTATTCTAATGAAAGAGAAAACTCCCATGGATGAAGGCAAGCATTTTGCACCAATTTCAAAGGAATGGAGACATTCAATACTGCAGAAACTGAGGAATTCAACTCTCATTTGGTGGTGGTGATGAAAGCATGACTGAACATCTGGAGAAGTGGAGGAGAAACACTGGAAAATGAGGTACAAAAACTAGTAGGCCAAAGACCCAAAATAAGGACCATCAGGAAAGATGGTCAGAGCGAGGATGTAAAGATAATGAAAGAAGATGACGAGAGAAAGTGGGTAATTTCGTATGCCTGTCATATGTGGCAGAGGACTAGAGTATGGAAATTAGTATTTTAACTAATTCATTCACAGGATATGTACATTGTTGGCTAGGCCAACATTCATTGCACACCATTAATTGCATTTGCGGGTGGTCGCGAGTTGCCTTCTTGAACTGCTGCAGTCCATGTGGTGCAGGTAAACCCACAGTACTGTTAGGAAATGAGATCCAGGGTTTTGCTGCAGCAACATTGAAGAAACAATAACATTGTGCCAAGTCAGAATTGCACATCTTTCGGAAGGGAACTTGCACGTGGTTGTATTCCCATACATCTGCTGCCCTGTTCTTTTCCACTGTAAAGGCCATAATTCTGGAAGGTGCTGTCTGAAGAGGTTTGATGCTTTGTTGCAGACAATCTTGTAGATTGGTGTTGAAGGGAATGAATGTCGAAGGTGGTGGTTGTGCTATTATTCAGAAATGCACTTTGTCCTAGATGGTATCGAGCTTGAATGTTACACTCATTTAGGCAAGTGATGAATACTCCATCACATGCTGACTTATGCCTTTAAGACGGTAGACAGGCTTCAAGGACTCAGGAGGAGAATTACTTGCAAAAATGGATTAGCTCTGGTTGTAGTAATTGGAAGAAGTGCAATGGTGTTTTATATGTTAGATATGTATAACTGAAACAGGAAGAAAAATATCTACAAACAATTAAGATTGTTCTTGTTTTATGGTACAGAAATCTGGGCAACATTAAGAAGAACAAAGACGGCATACTAATGCAATGTGGATGTTTGGAGTAATGACAAAGGACAAAATAATAAACCAGTACATCAGGGGTCAATGAAGATTACAGGAGCAAAAACAGTAGCCAATGTAGAATTGAAATGGTACTGTCACCACGTGTAGACAAAAAGGAGATATGGTAAGCCAAGTGATAGAGATGGGGCTGCCAGGAAGAAGAACAGGAAAGCCTAAGGACTGGAAGGAAAGATATGGCCATGAGAAAGTTAAACTTAACACAACTGGAGAATTGAGAATGAAGATGGAATAGAGACGGATGATCTTGTGGCAACCCAAAGTAAAACAGGAGAAGCTGAAAGAAGAGATACTTGCTTTTCCAAACACACTACCACAGCCATTTTTTTTTAAAAATTGTATCTATCTCATTAACAAGACCTTACAGAGAATGAGAGGGAGAATCATCAGTAGTGGATAGGAAATGGTTCAAGTACAGAAAGTTAAACCAGTCATCGTACAGCCAACAGGATGAGCAGTGAAGGTTGTGATCGGCAAAAATGTTCTAAATGTCAAGGGTTGGGAATATCGGACAGGTAATACCTGGAGCGGAAGGAATTATTCATGCGGTATGAGCCCTAATACTCAGATCTTCTGAAGAATAAATGGTGCTTGGAAACAAAAACAAGTATACACAATACTAAAGAAAAGGAATGACAGTTCCATTTTTTCTGAAGAAGGGTCCAGACCCAAAACATCAGCTTTCCTGCTCCTCTGATGCTGCTTGGCCTGCTGTGTTCATCCAGCTCTACACCTGATTATCTGAGAGTTCCTCTTGTTGGGTCTCAATTATCACTGGTTGTTTTAAAAACAGACAGTATCAGCACTTGTTGGAAAGGTAGAATACAAAGAACTCAATTTCTCCTACACATTCACCAATTGGGACATCAGTGCTCAATGTTTAAACTGTGGCTGAGATTCCTTTTTCAGTTGACTGGATGATGAGTAATTTCTCAAAGCAAACAACTCTGTTTGAAGACAGGCAAGAACGGAGAGCTACTAGGGATACATTCAACAATAAATATATTTGCTTTACTCAAGCACAACTCTTTTTACCCATTCAGTTCTCCCACCAGATCTGCACATAAAAACAATGACAACGTCTAGAGGAAAAAATATTCGTACTACAGGCTGTGCTCATTGTAAATGGTTGCTGAAG